TGAAAATATGTGAAGAGTGTCATTATTTTGAGATGAATCGGCATCTGTGGAATGTGGCATATGTGATGAAGGGTCTCGGTCCAGCGAACAAACAATAAAACACAATATCAAGGATTTGATCAAATGAATATCAGGGACAATGTGCTTAGTCCAGAAAGCTAGTGATAACACAACCAGTCTCCATTTGTTTTCAAACCAGTTGAGAATACCAGAGGAGCACTCCAGTGAGAAGCAAAGAGCATCAATCCTACAGCTAATGCTGGCCTTTTCCATATTAGTGACAGAAGGTAAATTGAACTTTAAGCATTCATTTGCAGCATCACAAACTATGTCCCTATATTTATCCTTAGAGTCAACACAAACAGTTTCATGTATACACGGGTCTTCCAGTAATGGTTGTAGTATCGTGTACATACAACATCTAATTGGTAATCCAATGAACATGGCAGAGCGTCTTTTAGGATTATCTATTATATAAGGTAAAGCAGATTTATTATGAGCCAGTGGTTTCATTGCATACCTTGAAAATTGTCCCTTGCGATACTGCTGAATTACCCATAGAGGAAGAGTAGTCCCATTTGATGTAGTCATTTTAGCCTTGTCCATAATATCATCTATACTGAATGCTTTGACGGTATAAAACTCCTTTGCAATTTCTAATTTTTTTTCGATAATGGATACCTCATTATGTAAGCAGCACCTACTGACGCGGTTCAGAAACTTATCTAGTGAACTGAATTTTCTTAAATACATTACTAACTCATGTATTTTGTCTAGCCTTGACCTGCTCCCTCCTCTTCTCTCCCTGTACTTAAGTAAATTCACAGCAATATCTCCTCTTAGACAAGGTGACTTTAACGGCTTGATATAATCATTGCCAAGTATTGCTGGTATTAGGAGTGGTGCTTCAAGACATTTAAAATTAAAACTATGAACAAAATCTTCAAGATAATATACTTGTGCAGTGACTGGTTGCTCTTTCCAATGGAGATTATTAAAAGGTATGTATCCAGCCCTGATGTTAAAGAAAAAGAAATCAGAGTCATTCGATACGACTGAACAAAAATAATTGTTTGCAAAAGACGCAATTGTACTGTCAGCATCTCCATCAGCATAAATGAAACAAACACCAAGCTCTCTCAAGGTCTCACAGAATACAGCTTCAGAAAAAAGTGGAATAACATCATTAGACTTAGAGCCATGTGGTAGACCTGCTTTGCCAGTGACTGCAGAGCTGGGTTTATCCAGAAAATTTGAAATAGTTTGCCTGGCACTCTTTTTGCGTTCCATCATAACTCCAGACTTTTTCCTGGTGTAATCTAACCCATCAAATATGACAATAGGCTCGATGCCACTCTCCAGGAGGCTAGTAATGAAACGCTTGTAGGACTGCCTCAGCTCCCAGTACTGCCCGCCATGTAACCAGTCTGTGTGATTATTTCGGTGAATGGCAAAACAGATACTCATAGCATCCAATATGAGCTGTCCACGTACCTCAATACTTTCCCGCCTCTTCAAGTAGTACTGTTTCATGTAAGTGGTTATTCCACGGATCCCCATTGAGCATAAATTTTTAAATACTGCACTGCCACCACCCACAAACGGGTGGGGCTCATTCATGCAAGGCCTAGGGTCATGGCCATGAATATTTGTCAAAATACATGTAAAGCTTGTATCTTTTAGTTCTGCTAAACATTAATTTTTATTAAAAACAAAGATATCAGTTGACTAAACTATTGAACTAATACACATGATAACATTAAAGTACAGTTACTAATCGCTACAATAATGATCAACACTTCTTTTTATCATGCTCTTCACAAATCTTTAAATAACCCTTAACATTTTCCTTTGATTCAATAAAAATGGGACTACGATCAAGTATACCAGTTGGGATAATGTCAAGAATGGGCAAATTCTTTTGTAATGCTTGCAAAAAATCTCTTTAGCTAATAGTTATCAAAAATAAATTAAATGTATAAAATACAAAATTAAGCACTGTCATCATCTTCATTGCTATCATCACTACTTGAATCAGAACTGAATTCAAAATATACAGTCTGATCGTACTGTATACCATCTTTAGTGGCAGCTTTTAGACTCTCAGTACAGACAAACATCAGTGAGTTAAACAAAGCTAGCGATTGAAGTGAAGAAACCAGTTCCATTCTAACTGTGCTATCAATGTCTGCCAGACTAGCATAATACATAGCTAGTTTACCATCAAACAAGAGAGCTGGTGTTGTAAATGAAAGTGGATTCATTAGAACATTGTTGAGCTTCATAGTGTCATAATAGACACACTGCCACATTGAGAATACGTGAAGAGTGTCATTATTTTGAGATGAGTCGGAATCTATGGAATGTGGTATATGTGATGAAGGGTCTCGGTCCAGTGAACAAACGATAAAACACAATATTAATGATTTGATCAAATGAATATCAGGGACAACATGTTTAGTCCAGAAAGTTAGTGATAACACAACTAGTTT